CTTTATTCTCGTAATTGTACGACTTTATTCTCGTACTTTTACGACTTTATTCTCGTACTTTTACGACTTTATTCTCGTACTTTTACGACTTTATTCTCATACTTTTACGACTTTATTCTTGTAATTGTACAACTTTATTCTTGCACTTTTAAGACTTTATTCTTACACTTTTATGATTTTATTCTAGTAATTTTATGACTTAATTCTCGAAATTTTATGACTTTATCTCGTAATGTTTCGACTTTATTGTCGAAATAGAAGAAATAAAATCTCCAGCCTGGCCCTGACCCTCTGTCGTAAACTGCTGTGTTCTGGGTGACTGTGTCTGTGAGTCAGAATCAAAACAATTAAAAGAAATAAATGCTTGAAATATTATCCTGCATTTATAAAAAAAACAAAAAACAGAAACAGATAAACTTGTTGATGATATTAAAATTAGAAGGAAGCGTATCTTGATTAGATAATGAAGCGACTGAGAAAGAAACGCCACCTCTGCCTATCTGCAACCTGAACTCAGTCATCAGTGAATTCTGCTGCTGCTCTGGTTCCCAGAATCAAACCATCTGGGGACCAAAGCTCCACAGGTTTGGATGAAGCTCCTGTGGTTCTAGAGGTGGGCGGGGCTTTACCTAAACCTTTCAGTTATTCTGTGTTGAAATCAAAGTGAAGTTATGGAAGAAGATAAAAGCCCAGCAGCATGTGATGAGCTGTTGGCATGGTGCTCACTAGCCGCGGCTAGCTAGCAGCTTCCACGCGCTGACGCTCGCTGTCAGAAAGAGAAAGTTCCGCGGAGTCTTACCGAACATCCCCTCCACCACCGCCAGAGGCTCGTTAATCCAGTCATGAGTGGAAGGCATGGTTCAGCTGTCACTGCGAGCCGGGCTGATAACAATATACGCCGGGGAGAGTTGTGTGAATCCTCTACTTTGTTGACTTTCCCGTCACACACAGGATCGGAGCAAAAACGAGGGCGGGAAAATTGCGTCAGTTTGGGGTTGGTTTGATATTAACGCCCGGACTAACCGGAGAGCGGTGCCTGTTCGATCTATCTCAACCTTTGTTGCCCAACAGATATATTATGTTAATTTTCACATTTCCTGAATGATGATGGTGATTTCTTATCGTTGAAGAAGTTGACTTGAAATTCTATTTATTTTTTGACTTATAATAGTTGATAAAAGCTACCCCATTTGCTCTTAGATCTATGATTAAAGAAGATATTTATTCATCAAAAACTTCCTCTCCTATAAATCAGCTACATATAGAAGGTATAGACATTCTAGATAACAGACTAATTAATTGGGAGAGTTTTTATTCCTTGTTCAACTTAAACAGAAATATATTCTTAAATATTATGAGTTAGGTATGATCTCTAATTTCATTTTAAAATATGAAATAAAATTTACCATACTAATGTTTTCTTGAAAACTAGATCTAATTCAATTTTGCTGGATGCTTGTTCTGTTTCAATTAGGATTTAGATCATATTTCATCAACATGTGTGGATGGCTCCTAACCTGAGGAACTGAAATTTAACAATAATTACATTTGCGATATATATATATCTTTGTAAATTAAATACTGGGAACGTTTTTTGTTCATAAATGCAGATTTTTTTTTTTTTTTTTGGCTAAGTTTAAGCCATCTGAGAAATTTAATAAGCTGCTTTTGTGAGTCTATAAATTTGTGTGAGTCTATAAATGTGCTCAAGATTGTCTGTTGGAGAAGCATTCCCGTTATGACGTCATAAGTTCTTTTTTTTCTGTATCATGATGTTCTAAATAAAGACTTTGGGTACAAAAAAAAAAATTGTTGCACCGTAAACGTACATTTTAACCTTTTTTTGTGCGTAGAACAACCCATTAGGAATACATATGGAGAGTGGCAACTTTCCATTTAAAACCCTTAAAACAAAAACAAGACAGACCTTAATGTTATATTTTGATATAGCAATTGAAATTTATATTTATCGATTTAATCGTACGTGCACCTAATTTTTTTTTTTTTTATAAACTGTTGATTATTATAAATTATGTTCAGAAGCGAGCCTAAGCTGTTTGAGACCCTCAGTGAATTTTATGCCAAAATATATTTATGTCAAGTATATCATATTGTTATGACTCTTATGATGTTTTTTTTTGTGTGTAATTCTGTTGTACCACTAATCCCTTCAAATATAGGTTAAAAACAGAAGTTCACTTATATGGAAGAGAAATCGGGCCACTGAAAAAAAAAAAAAGTTAACTGATTTTTACATTTTATTTCAGTTTAATATGGGAAAAAATTCAGCATTCTGAGATTAAAGTCAGAATTCTGAGATTAAAGTCAGCATTCTGATTAAAAATTAAGAATTCTGAAAAAAAAAGTGAGAATTCTGAGATTAAAGTCAGCATTCTGAGATTAAAGTCAGAATTCTGAGAAAAAAAGTTAGAATTCTGAGATTAAAGTCAGAATTATGTGGAAAAAAAGTCAGAATTCTGAGATTAAAGTCAGAATTCCCACTTTTTTCCAATGTTAAACTGAAATAAAATTTAAAAATCAGTTAACGTCTTTCATTTATTTAGTGGACCTAATCCTCTTCCGTACAATTATTTAAAAAAAAAAGTAAAAAAAAAAAAAAATTTTTTTAGCTATCGCAAATATAGATATCTTCCTGGCCTACAGGTGGCAGTAGCGAGAAAAAGTGTTTGTTTTTGGGTTTCAAATTAACGTGCAGTTACCCAGGTAACTGCAAGATTTTTGCAGATCTATAAGTCATACGCTTGGTGCGATGTCATATTGATGTGTTTATATATAGCTTTACAGATCTAGACAGTTTATTGCGCTTGAAAAAAAAAAACAACAGTTGGACAGCTGACGCCACTCCGCCGCGTCCCCGGTTCTGGCTACGTGTAATTCAGGGGAAAAATGGCAGATAGAAAAAATAATAATGTCCCCAACAGTAGTGCGAATTTACTGTTCAGCGCTGCTCCGGAGTTTAACTTCAACCTGCCGTTTATGCCGGTGAGCCAGGCCACCGGGCCGGCGGTGCTGTCAGGAGGTGAGAGGAAGCAGAGACCGAGGAAATGTTTAAAGCTCGGTTAGGCTGTTAGCAAGCAAAGCTAATATGCTAGTCGGGCTAACACTCTGCTGTCAGGGGCTAAATGAGAGAGAAACACTGTTTAATGAATGGTTGTGAGCTCAGCCCAATGGGCTAGTTTGTGTTTTACTTGCCGTCGTTTGTTTTACAGAAACAAACTGCTGAGAATAATATATGTTAAATGGAGAAGTGTAAAAGTGAAACATTTATCCGAATCATTTGTTGTTTTTTAAGTTTTCTGCATTGATTACAGTCATTAGGTTAGGGAACAAACCTTAGAAAACACCCTATAAAATATTAAACACACTTAGAAGAAAACAAAACAATGAATATTAAACACAGTACTAGTTTTAAAGAATAGTAAGGGACATTTATTGATGATGTAAACATCCTTGGAAGATGGATTTGCATGTTTCCCTCATAAACAGTTTGTAAAGATGTTTTTGAGGACTGAGGTCCTGCTTGTTTCCTCTTTGATCAGAAACATTTTATTGTGATAATATGGTTTATCTGGAGAAAATTGACAGTTATCTGATGGTATTAACATGTGCTGAGGATTTGGAGAAAGGAGGTTGCAGTTAGAGCTGCCCTGGGAGATTAAAAAAAACATGAAGACTACAGAGGTTGTTGGTTGTAGTGGATCTATTTGTTCTTATTTATTTATATAGCACCAATTAACTACACACGTCATCTACAGGCACTTTACAGTTCACCAGATCATACAGTCAGATTGATTCAAGTTTGCTATCTAAGGAAAACCAGTTGATTGTATCGACTCATTGACTAGAAGGCAATCCCTCAACCTAAGCATGCTTGTAGCGACAGTGGAGAGGAAAACCTCCCTTTTAACAGGGAGAAACCTCCAACAGAACCCGACTCTGCTGAGGCTGACTGTGGTTCAAGGAGACAGATACAGACATACAAAAAGCATCTGTAAAAGGCGGCCCCGTCCAGGAAACACACAGCCAGGCAGACGAGCTCCGAGCCAGCTCCCATGCCAGAGGATGAAGAGAGCACATCCAGTTAGTCACAGTGAGAGAAACAGGACTACACTGGAAAAACAGGCCGAGTTCCAACATCTATAAAAAAAAGGTGTTGATGGCAGCAGCAAAGCTGATATTTCTCTCCAGGATGGAGTCACAGC